CGTGAAATATGTTTTCCTGCACACAAAAGCTTTTTATGTTATTACACGTTTCTCCATGTACTTTAGCAGTTTGAAACATATTGTTTGACACTTCTATGAATTAGTTTGCGTGGCATCCAGTCAATATAGAGAATATTATTTAACTCTTTTATGAGTACTATCCATATGAGAGAGAGAGAGAGAGTATATGTGTGTGTGCATTTATGTAAATTTCTTTAATAGAAGAAATGCAGTGTAAAGTTTTTGGAAATAGAAAAAAAAATTGCTTCACACAAGTAAATTTCAATTTTCACTTTCTGAGGGATTTTGCATTTAAAAATTATGAATAATCTTCCCCTAAGAAATACTTTCATCTCCTTTTTAAATAAAATGAAGCCAGGGGATTCCAAGATGACAGAATAGGGAAAAGACATATTGCTTTAGACGCTGGGAAAATAGCAGAAAGAAAGTAAAGGAAGTGCATTCCCAAGGGAGAGTTGGAGAAAAATTTGCAGTGGAAATTCTACATAAGTAAAAGGGATGCCATGAGTCAGTGTGGAAGGTATGGATGCACAGCAAAGATCGCTGCAGCCAGGAAAGAGGACACAGCAGCTTTGGAGAGTGGGGTGAGAACAGAATGTGGCAGCCTTTGCCACTGCTGATATTGCTGGATGTAGAGCCCTGCAGACCACTCTGTCTTTCAGTCTGTCCTGGAGCCCTAATGGGGGGGGGGCATGGTACCTGTTTAACTCAGTAAATTTAAAGCACCCATAATGATACCTGGCAACTGGTGAGAGAAGGTGCCATTTTCTTGCCAGTAGTGGCTGTGGAGGATCTTGTCCACATGTGTGATCAGGATATTTTACCAGAGGGAGAAATTTGTGTTCTCCACTGACTTTCAGTCTGGCTGCATGCATTGACAGGGGGCTGGGCATCCACATAGGACTGTGAGGTGTCCCCGTTCTCTCAACATATCACAGGCCCTGATGCTCAAATTGCCAAGGTGGAACAGCCACAGAAGCCAGTTATGGGAACGTGCCCCCCACCCCCATGGGTGTGACAGGCTAGTGGGGCAGAGTAGATACTCCTCACCATGTGACTATGGAAGCCTTGTGTGCTGTGACTGTGGAAATGCTGTGAATGCACAACAGTGCACAGGATGTAGCTGGGTATCTGGGCAGTCATTGCATCCTGTGTCAAGGCTCAGGGCTCCCCAAATGCCTGGTGTGGGTCATTGCAGTGGGTTCTGTGCTCAAACTGAGGACTGTACAGATCCATTGTGCTGTTCATGCAGCAGCACAGGTGAGTGTTGCACCCACTGTAGGCTAACCCTGTGTATTGCTCACCTTGGAAGAAAGGAGATGAGGGTGTGATTATGCCAACAGACGTGATCATTCCCTCCCTGCTGCTGACAATAGAGATCTACCACACTTAACTTGAGTTTCACCCTAGATACTACATCACTTTACCTCTGGGTATTCACTGAAAGAGCAGACACTCCACTAAACCACAGAGACATAGTTCAAAGATAAGTCCTTTGCCTAAAAATAGTGCAAAATTCAATAATTCAAGAAACAAGATAAGGAAGACACAATATGATTCCCCCAAAGGAGCACAACACTTCAGCATTAGAATGTGAAGATGAAGAGACTGATGAAATACCTGAAAATGAATTCAAAAGAATGACCATAGGATTACCCAGAAGCAATGAGAAGCAAATTCATGAATTAAAATAATCCAAACATGACATGGATGAAAACTTTTCCAATGCGATTTAGACTTTGAAGAGAAATCAAACTGAAATATTAGAAATAAAGAACTCATTATGTTAAATGAAAAATACAGTGTAAAACCTTAACAATGGATCTGGTGAGGCATAAGAAAGAATATCCAAGCTAGAAGACAAATCTTTAGAAATTTCTCACTCATACCAAAAAAAAAGAAGAAATTAGAAAAAAATGATGTTTGACATTTTACTGGATACTATCAAATGACCAATATACAGGTCTTAGGAGCTCCTGTAGGTGTGGAAAGGCAGAATGAATTAGAAGGTCTATTCAGAGAAATAATTTTAAAAATATTCCCTAATTTTGAGAAAGAAAAGGACATTCAAGAACATGAGACACATAGACTCCTAATAGACATGACCAGAAATGATCTTCACCAGGACACATTGTAGTTAAACTTTCAACTATAAAGCCCAAAGAAAACATTCTAAAATGTGAACAAGAGCAATGCCAGATTACTTTCAGGGGATCTCCAATAATACTCATAGCTGATTTCTCATCAGAAACCACATGCTAAGATAAAATGGAGAGAAATAGTCCAAGTCTTAAAGGTGAAATAAAGACCTTCCATAACAAACAGAAATTGAAAGAATTTGTCACTACTCTGATTCCCTCCCCAAATGGCTGTAATATCTGGGGCTGGGTCAGGTTGAAGACAGGAGCCAAAAATGCCATCTGGGTCTTCCATGTGAGTGGTAGGGGCCCACGGACATGGGTCACCTTTGTTGCTTTCCCAGGTGCATTAGCAGAGAGCTGAATTGTACATAGAGCATCTGGGACTCAAATTAAAGCTCATATGGGATGCTGATATTTCAGGCAGTTTCTTAATCCATTGTGCTACAATGTCGGCCCCTAAATTTGTTGAAAGATCAGACCCATTCACAGTAGCTAAAAAATTTAAATAACTCTGATTAAATTCAACTATGGAAGTGAAGATATCTACAATGAAAATTATAAGACATTATAGAAAGAAACAAAAGAAGATACCAAAAAATGGCAGTCTGCAATGTTCATGATTGGAAAAATCAATATCATCAAAATGTCCCTACTACCCAAAGCAATTGAAATATTCAGTGTGATCTCAATCAAAATACCAACAACATTCTTCTCAAAACTAAAGGAAACTATAATAAAACTCATGTGGAAACACAAGAGACTTCAAATATCTAAACCAATCTTGAACAACAACAAAAAAAATGGGCACTACAATACCAAATTTCAAGAAATCTTACAGGGCAGTAATAATCAAATAGCCTGATTTGGGCAAAAAAAAAAAAAATAGACATGTAGACAAATGGAACAGAGTAGAAACCCCAGAAATCAATTCATACATCTATAACCAACTAACCTTTAACAAATGAACTAAGATTAATCACTGGAGAAAGGACAGTTATTCAACAAAGGGTGCTGGGAAAATTGGGTCTCCATGTGTAGAAGTATGAAACAAGACCCCTACTCCATAAAATATATACAAATCAACTCACAATGGATCATGACCTGATACCATCAAATTACCAGAGGATAAGTTTGGGGAAACTCTGTCAGACATTAACATAGGCAACAATTTCTTGAGAAGATCCAAGAAGCACAGGCAATCAAAGCCAAAATAGACAAATGAGATTACACCAAGCTGGGAAGCATGACAAATGAAACACTCAGCAAAGTGAAGAGCTGACAGAATGGGAGAAAACATTTGCAATCTATGCAAATGTTAAAAGATCAATTTCCAGAATATATAAGGAGTACAAGAATCTCACCAACAACAAAACAAACAACTCTGCTTTGAAATGGGCAAAAAAACTTGAACAGGCTTTTTTTTTTTTTTTTTTTTTTTAAAGAGGAAATTCAAATGGCCAATAAACACATGAAAAAAATCCTCAGCCAGCAGGAAAATGCAAATTGAAATCACAATGAGGGTTTTATCTCTCCCCAGTTGGAATGTTTCTCATACAGACATCAACAAACAATAAATGTTGGCAATGATGTGGGGGAAAAAGTTACCCTAATCCACTATTAATGGACATGTAAACTAGTACAGCCATTGTGGAAGACAGTATGGAGATACTTCAGAAAATTGAAAATAGATCTACAATATAACCCATCAATCCCAGTCCTGGGAACTTACCCAAGCAAAATTAAATGAACATATGAAAAAATTTTCTGTACTCCCATGTTTATTGCAGCTCAATTAACTATAGCTAAGATATGGATTCAACCCAGATGCACATTAATTGATGATTGGATAAAGCAATTACTATTCAGCCATAAAAAGAATGAAAACTTGTGTTTTCAACAAAATGGATACAACTGGAAACAATTATACAGAGTGAAATAAACCAGTCCCTAAAAGATATATGCCATATATTTTCCCTGATCTGTGTTAACTAATAGACTACCCCAAAAAAACAATGTATAGGAGTGAAAATGACAATTGGAGATCTGATGATTTTTTACAGCCTTTGTCCCTATTGTTGAGGAACAGTGTTTTTTTCTTCTTACTGTTTTATGAACTCTTTACTTAGTGTAGGTTTAATCTTATGTGGATAAAGTTAAGTGAAAATAGAACATTGCAAAAATTAAGAGAGGGAATAAGAGATGTAGAAGAAGGAAGATTGGGAACATGATCAGGTGGAAGGGTAGGGTAGGGAGTATTACTATGTTCCTAAATCAATATATATAAAATACACAAAATTTATGTACTTTAATTTTTTTTGACAAAGAAATAAAATACTATAAAGTCATTAAAAGGCAGATATAGCAATTAAGACCCAGGATGCCTAAACCCCTTATTGGAGTACCTGGGTTCAAGTCTCAGCTTTATCACTGAGTCCAGCTTCTGGCTGATGCACACCCTAGGAAGGCAAAAGTGATAGCTGGCCGGCGCCATGGCTCACTAGGCTAATCCTCCACCTTGCGGCACTGGCACACAAGGTTCTAGTCCCGTCGGGGCACCGGATTCTGTCCCAGTTGCCCCTCTTCCAGGCCAGCTCTCTGCTGTGGCCCGGGAGTGCAGTGGAGGATGGCCCAAGTGCTTGGGCCCTGTACCCCATGGGAGACCAGGAGAAGCACCTGGCTCCTGGTCCTGCCTTCGGATAGGTGCAGTGCGCCGGCTGCAGCACGCCGGCTGTGGCAGCCATTGGAATGTGAACCAATGGCAAAAAGGAAGACTTTTCTCTCTGTCTCTCTCTCTCTCTCACTGTCCACTCTGCCTGTCAAAAAAAAAAAAAAAAAAAAAAAAAGTTATAGCTTAACTAGTTGCATTCTGCCAAACAACTTGAAGACCCAGATTGATTTCTCCTCCCAGCATTGTCCTGGCCCAGCTATGGAAGGCTTTGGGAAATGAATCAGTGGATGGAAGTATAGTTTTTTTTTTTTTTTTTTTTTGAGATTTTTATTTATTTATTTGTGAGGTAGAGCTACAGACAGACAGAGCAAGAGGCAGAGAGAGAGGTCTTCCATCTGTTGGTCCACTCTTCAAGGTCGCAATGAATGGAGCTGGGTCGATCTGAAGCCAGGAGCTTCTTCCAGGACTTCCAGGACCCTGTGGATACAGGTTCCCAGGCACTTGGGCCATCTTCTGTTTTCCCAGGCCATAAGTAGAGAACTGGATTGTGGGTCAGAAGAGGAGCAGCCAGGACATAAACCAGCACCCATATGGGAGGGGTTTGATAGAAACTAATCATCAGTACTAAATACAGCCACTAATGTCTATGTTCATTCTCTTTAAAGAAAAACACAGACAAAAAGTTAATTGCTTGTCCAACATGATAACAAACTTTTCAAGCATAAAGTTTTGGTGATACTTTCTTTGTTCATTGGATGCATTGGCATAATTTCAACAAAAACATTCTTTTTCTCATTCTCTCTGTCCATGCTTAATATCATGTAGCCTGAGCCAAAACATGTTTATTTTAAAGATGTTAAACATAGAATTACAATTTTGATACTATTTTTTCATTGTTTCATCTTTTGTTTTAAAACCCATATTAGGAAACTCTTTACAATGATTGAATCTAACATAAATAAATATTCTGTGCTAATATTCCATAATGGTATTTGGCTATGATTCTCACAGTTCTGTGTAAAGTCAGATTTTGTTGTAGTGAATATATTAATAACATAATCAAAGAATTTTCAAATACATTAAGCATAATCTTTTTCCAGTTTGTAAAATGTAAACTATATATGTAATTATTTTTCTCCTGCAAGGTATTGGAGCAACTATTTTGGTGAAGTTTGATAATTAAATTTTGTCTATTGTACTGTAGTGTTTTTTGAAATTTTAAAGAATCATATAGAAGAGTGAAACTGAAATGATGAATAACTAAAGCCTTTTCCAGGAAAAAAAAATATATACTTACTTTTTGACTGAGATAAAATGAATAAAACTATTGAGTTCTGTTTCATAACTACCAATATATTCTCTCAAATAAAAAAAAAAAGTCACTACCTCTAAGTAATTTGCAAATTGGTTCTCACAGCCATGTCTCAGGAAGGTTCCATTTTTTTTTTTCAGTGAGTGATCAACTTGATAATCATATTGTAGATAATTAGGTGATTTATTAAATTGAGTCAAAGCCTAAATCCTTTGTCATTAGAACTTTGCTTTTCCGAAGAGAACCCCTCACACCACAACCACCTAGAATGTGTCTCTGGGGTAAAGGAAAGTGACTACTTTTTGGCTAATCAGAGCAAGGTAACAGTTGAGCTTCATCAGAAACAGACATCAGCTGGATTTACTTTATTCCCTTTCCTACCAGGATTCTGAGTAGCTTTTGCACAAATCCAGTTCTACCTGCTGGAATGATTTCTTTCTCTGATGGCTTTTCATCTCTGGCAGGTATTGAGGTTCACACAAGTCAAATTTGCCAACTGTTTCTTTGAATTTGCATGTTTCTTCTTCCAAGGAAGTCAATTGTTTTAGAAAGTTCACCCTTAGCTCTGTATTGCTAGATGAAAAAGTCAACCATGACACCATGCTCAATGACTAGACCTGTGAAGAAATACCACAAGCTGCCCATCAACTGTTTGCTCAGGAAGAGCATCAGATGACCAGATTTTGAAGAAGGAAGTCCATTCCCTGAGATTTTTTTATCTTGATTCAACAACTATTGCCAGAAGACCTAAATGATGCATACAAGTACCTTCAGTTAGCAAATATTTTGGTGACAACTCACACTAGAGCTCTTAAAACAAGAATGCAAATGTATTTGCACTGGTTCTATTAATTATAACTCACATATTATTTCAATTTATTAACTATTATAGCCAATTAACATATTTAATTAATTAACTGCATGACATATTTGTAACTAATTTATGAGAAATTTTTGCATTATTTCTACTAACCATGACTGTAACTGATTTTTATTAAAAGTGTAACATTTCTTTTTTTCCATTATTTATTCCTTTGTTTCAGCTTATAATTATTATTTTCAAAATAGGAAACTATTTGAAAGCATATTAAGAATTTAAATGTAGATAATAGGAAAAAATCATTATAATGAATAGAATTATGTGCTTAAAGGAACTATATTTGCCTGTGCCAGAAAATCCAACTGGGGTCGTTCTGCCTTAGAAAATAGGGCTTTTTAAAATCATTTTGTTATGTTTTATTTGATTATTTGTTTGATGTTTTACCCAGGGCTATGGTTTTCTTTACATGCAGCATTAATAGTCCAGTGACAATTTAGACCCTGAGAAGTACTTGTGAAGATGCCTTATTGCCTGGTCTTACATAGGACTCCTTGTCTACTGATAGATTTTAGTTATGTATTAAAACTGTTGGCAATTTCATTCTCCAAGGATCTTAGAAGAGAACACTCTGACTTGTTTTCTGTTGTCCCTCACTTGGATTACACAGGTTATACAACTATTGTAGACGTTTGCAGTAATGCATAGTCAGTTTTAGGATATTGATTATAGAGTCTCGTTCTCACTTTTCTTTTTTTTTTTTTTTAAGATTTATTTATTTATGGGGGCAGGCACTGTGGCGCAGCGGGTTAATGCCCTGGCCTGAAGCGCCGACATCCCATATGGGCACCAGTTCAAGACCCGGCTGCTCCACTTCTGATCCAGCTCTCTGCCACAGCCTGTGAAAGCAGTAGAAGATGGTCCAAGTACTTGGACCCCTGTTACCACGTGAGAGAACCAGAAGAGGCTCCTGGCTCCTGGCTTCAGCTTTGGCCATTGCGGCCAATTGGGGAGTGAACCAATGAATGGAAGACCTCTCTCTCTCTCTCTCTCTTTTTGCTTCTCCTCTTTCTGTGTAACTCTGAATTTCAAATAAATAAATAAATCTTTAAAAAATGATTTATTTTTTTATTTGAAAGCAGAGTTAGAGGAAGAGAGAGTTCTCTGATCCACTGATTCACTACCCAAATGGCTACAACGGCCTCTGCTGGGCCAGGCTGAAGCCAGGAACCTGGTACTCCATTTGGATCTCCCAAGTGGGTAGCAAGGATCGAGTACCTAGGCCATCTTCCACTGCTTTTCCTTACACATTAGTGGGGAACTGGATCAGAAATGGAGCAGCAGGAACTCAAACCAGCATTCAAATGGGATGCTGCCCCAACACCAGTCCTGTGGTCACAGTTTTTGAGACAATTTCTTCCACATACATTTGAAAAATTTAAACCTATCTTGTGTTTCTCATCAACTTGTAGATATTTTAGTTAGATAATTGAAGGGGCTGTGTAGGGGTCAGAATTGTGGCATACTAGGTAAGGTCTCCACGTGCAGTGCCAGCCTCCAATATGGGTGCAGGCTGGAGTCCTGGCTGCTCCACTCCCAGTCAAGCTTTCTGCTAATGGTCTGGGAAAGCAAGCATGGGCCTGTGCCACCCACGTGGGAGACCTGGAGGAAGCTCCTGGCTCCTGGCTTTGGATCCACCCAACTTAGGCCACTGAGGCCATTTGGGGAGCGAACCAGTGGATAGAAGACCTCTCTCTCCGTCTCTCTCTCTTTTTGTCTGTAACTCTATCTCTCAAATAAATAAATAAATATTTAATAAAATATTGTATATTTTCCTTTATGATTTGGTAAGGTAGGGAAAACCAATGCTGCTTATTCACTGTAAGGATTATATTGCTTTTATCCAAAAACATTTATTAAGATAAATAGTTCTTTCATCATGTCCTTCAATTCCCCAATTACTTCATAAACAATTATTCTAATAAGAGTTTCTTATTCAGCCTTTTTCTGTTGTTCTGTGCAGTTGCAACCCTTGATATCTACAGTCATACTTTCTTCAAGGTATTTCCCAGGACAGATATAGCTATAGCCTCATTTTAACTTCTACAGCATCTGAATACATATTTCTTGAATTAGTAAAGGTTATATTTATAGCATATCCTATGCCAATCCCACATTCATCTAATAAAGTTGAGTATGAGAGCCTGGAGTACATGCGACTGTGTATGATCAAGAGTGAGGGGGTGAGGAGAGAAAAAAGTACTGTTCTATTCACAAATTATAGTGTTCCCATAGAACTATCACACACACACACACACACACACACAGATATTTTATAGAGATTGTGGGACAAAAGTAAAAACATTGTTGTAAACAAATGTATTAAGAAAAATTGCTTTGTGATATTCTGCCTCAAACCTATACCAACCAAACTTCCGAGGCTTATTGGTAGAAGCATTTGTGTTTATTATTTATGTTTTTAATTACATTTTCTGCCAATTACTGCCAAACAACCCATGACTGAAAAGGGTCTTAGATTAAAGAGGGATGATAATACAATAATTAAGATAGCCTTATAGGTGCAGGTATTGTGGCGCAGTAGGTTAAGCTGCCCATCTCCTATAATGGAGCACTGGTTTGAATTCCAACTCCTCTGTTTCTGTTCCAGCTTCCTGCCAAATGTTTCTGGAAGGCAGCAGATGATGGTCCAAGAACTTCAGTTCATGCCCCTCACCTGGGAAACGGAGTTGTATTCTCACTGGCTCAGCTCAGGCTGTTTTAGGCATTTGGAAATTAACTGGTAGATACAAGATTTCTATCTTTGCCTCCCTATCACTCTGTCATGTAAGTAAATAAATAAATAAATATTTTTCAAATAGCCTTATGATTCTATAAAGCTTAAAACCAATTTGTTTTTGGAATGACAGACCTGGGCTGGTTGTTTTAGTTTGCAATAATGATTCCTGAATCCTCTTTTCACAAAAAATATGTGGGAGAATCTAGCAATGAATGACCATACAGAACTATAATCCATCGTGGAATTTACATACAAGGATTTGAGTGGGAGGACGCAGATAAAAACATAATAAATGGATAGTATTTACAATATATTAAATATTGTAATAAATACTCCAGTAAAAGGAGTGAGGAGGTGGGGAAAAGAGTTTCTCTGCTGGAGTAACTTTGCAATTTTAGGTATAGTAGACATGGATGTCTTTGGAAAAAAACTGTTTAATTAAAAAATTGAAAGAAGTAAGTGAAATCTGAGATAAGCATATACCTGGCAAAGGAAACAGAATTGCAAATGGCCAAAACAGGTACAGGTACAGGTACAGGTACAGGTACAGGTACACACTTGTAGAACATATAGCAAATTAGAGTCACAGTTGACTATTACGAGATTATTGAGGTGATGGGGTGAATATATTGCAAATGACTTTTTAGGCTTATGTAAAGATTTTAACTTTAATTTTACAAAAAAAATGGGAGACATTGCAAAGTTTGAACAAAAAAGTAATGCCAACTTAGTTATGATTTAAAATAATTATTCTGTCAGTATGGTTTGTGGTTGAGGTAGATTGTACAGGCTTACAAAAACAGAAGTTAGAAGAACAGTTGATACATTATTGCACCAATATAATTGATGAATCATGGCATTGTGGGCCAAAATGACAGCGGTAGAAATGATATGAACTGGTTAGAATTGGATTGTGTTTAAAAATACAGGCGGGGCCGGCGCTGCGGTTCACTAGGCTAATCCTCCACTTGCGGCGCCTGCACATCGGGTTCCAGTCCCGGTCGGGGCACCGGATTCTGTCCCGGTTGCCCCTCTTCCAGGCCAGCTCACTGCTGTGGCCAGGGAGTGCAGTGGAGGATGGCCCAAGTCCTTGGGCCCTGCACCCGCATGGGAGACCAGGAGAAGCACCTGGCTCCTGGCTCCTGCCATCGGATCAGCGCGGTGCGCCAGCTGCAGCGCCCCGGCCGCGGTGGCCATTGGAGGGTGAACCAATGGCAAAAGGAAGACCTTTCTCTCTCTCTCTCTCTCTCTCACTGTCCACTCTGCCTGTCAAAAATTTAAAAAAAATATATAGGCGGAAGTTCTCACTGTTAGGTTCACTGAGACATGAGACAAGGTGCAAAGTTCAAGGATAACATTAATATTTTTAGTTATATAGCTGAAAATATAGATTTGTTACAGGAGAAATAGATTTATGAAGATACAAAGATATTTAGTAAAATCTAACAGTAATAATTTTCATCAAGAAAGAATGAGAGGAACAGGATTAGAGGCAATGAGTACAAACAAAAACACCAAGAACACACACACACAAAAACCTTTCACCAATTTTCTTGTAAGAGGTTATAAGGAACTAGGGCAGCAAATCAAGTAGGAAGTAACAATAATTAGAAATATTTTATGATAGTACATATTATATGAAACATTTATTTTAAAATTAAGATGTTCAGATAAGAAATATGTTACTATTCTTGCTTGTAAGTAATTATATTCTAATGTAAGAGAGAAGAGCTGAGTGTGAAATGTACGAAATAGGTCTGCACATAAGGCAGGTCTGGTATTGCAGGGAAAGAATACATACATTTGCTGCTGAGCAAGGGTTAGGCATCAAGTCTGCTAACGATTAGCGATGTTTGCCATTGACCATGTTGTTTTTATGGATTAAGGGATTGTTCAGAAGTCAAGGAGGGCCAGTGCCATGGCTCAATAGGCTAATCCTCCCCCTAGCGGCGCTGGCACACCGGGTTCTAGTCCCGGTCGGGGCGCCGGATTCTATCCCGGTTGCCCCTCTTCCAGGCCATCTCTCTGCTGTGGCCCAGGAGTGCAGTGGAGGATGACCCAAGTGCTTGGTCCCTGCACCCCATGGGAGACCAGGAGAAACACCTGGCTCCTGCCATCGGATCAGCGCGGTACGCCGGCCGTGGCGGCCATTGGAGGGTGAACCAACGGCAAAGGAAGACCTTTCTTCCTGTCTCTCTCTCTCACTGTCCACTCTGCCTGTCAAAAAAAAAAAAAAAGTCAAGGCGGTTTCTTAGGGATATTAACAATGAAATGAAACTTGAAAACGCAATTCAAACTAAAAATAATATTTCCACTATATTGCAAGTGAGGCTTGCATGGTTTATAGGGGGAAAATCATTATGATAAGGACACAAGTGAGGAGGACAACTAAGTTTAAATTATAAGGGAAACCTTATGTAATGAGAGTTGAGAGTATTGGGGTAAGTGGAAAAATATACAATGAAATTAAGTAAATAAGACTGATGATGATTATAATTTGGAAGTGGGAAAAATGGAAGCTAGGTATGATAAATCAGTTTCTGGTTTTGACAGTCTAGCAAGTAAGCAGTAAATTTAGTCTCATAGACAGTCATGCAAGGGAAAGAAAATTTCATAAAAAGGTTTGGGCTCAATTTTTATTTTTATACCAGGAATCAAGAAAACTGAGTATACTTATAAGTGGAACTGAGATTTTACCTAACTTGTTCATTTATGTAAAATATAAAATATAAAATGTGCCAGTTCTTGTAGCAAATAACTAGAATAGAAGCAAGAATACTATTTTAGCCAAAATATGAAGCAAGTAATTATATAAGTTGTGATAAATGTTTTAGTTTCATAAAAATCAATGTTCTTATTAGTAACCACTCACAGCTTCTTTTTCTTTTACATATTTTCTTTTAAAATCAAACATTTGCACAACCTTTGATTACCAGCCACAGCAGGAAAACTCTAGTTTTGTACCACATGAAAAAGTATTAATTTCAAAGCCTTTGCTGGTAAGAAGGAAACTAATCACTCTTTTAACAAGAGTACTTATCACAGTTGCTAAAACATTGATAAATTATATCTGGAAACCAAAGTCTCTGGAGAAGTCAGAGAAAATTTGTTTTACTCTATGATACTTCCAGGCAAAAGTGTGCTCATTCTCAAATTGCCAAATCCAAGAAAGCTTGTACATAATGCTTTGTTTACAGACTTCAATGAACATTTTTGCAAGGATCATTGTTATTTTTGCATTGATTTCTCGTAACCATTATTGGAGTTGTTATTTCACAGATGATCTCTCATTGTTATAATTTTTAAGTCTACCAAGTTAACTTCAAACGGACCTTAGGCTCTTAGGATTTATGTAGATAAAACATGAAACCCTCCCACTCAAGGAGGGAGAGTGTTAGAAGGAATCTGCACAAGGAAAGGAGAGATGGTAGAAGGAAATAGGTTGTAATACTTTCATTCCCTATCTTTTCTTTCTGGAGTATTCAAAGTATCTTCTTGATCAAGATTGGTAAGCTCTCTGATACTAGTGAGTCTAGAGATACCTTGAATACTTTACCAACTACCAAGATTTAGCAGTTATTTGAAAACAGTACTGTAGCTTTCCATGAGTATGCTTGCTAGGAAGAATGGTTTCTATAATAACTTGAATTTGTTTGAAAAGAGGCAGGTGGATACAGTAGCAGGCTGAGAATAAAAGTTTTGATCTTTCCTGTCCTTGAAGTAGTACAATACCTACCAAGGATTGATATTAAGGTGGAAAGTAATTTGAAAACCAGCAGATCTAAGGTCAGACCAGAATAATGTGAAGCACAATCTTCCTTAGTTAATGTGAATATTCTAAGAAGCACTGGAAGTTTAGACATCAGGCTTGGGTCTCAAAAAAAAGAGACCTCTTCCTAGTGACATAGAAATAGCTCATGTTCTTGCCAACAAAAATAAAGCCAAATAAATGATCAAATAATGATTTCCCCTCTCTCTCTCACTATGTGTGTGTGCGTGTGCGTATTCATTCCTATTTCCCTCTTTTTCTATCTGCTTTTCAAATTAATAAAGAAACCATTTTTTTTAAAAATGGTCAGGAGTGGTATTTTGGCATAATGACTTAAGCTTCCACTGCCACTGCCAATGCCAGAATTCTGTATTGGCAGAGTGCTTGTTCCAGAGCCAGCTGCTTCACTTCTGATCCAGCTCCCTACTCAGGTGCCTGGGAAATCAGCCGAGGATGTCCAAGTATTTAAGCCCTTGCCACCATGTGGGAGGCCTGCAAGCATCTGGGGAGTGAACAAACAGATGGAAGAATCTCTTTCTTAGTCTCTCCCTCTCTGTGTGCCACTCTGACTTTCAAATAATTAAATAAATCTTTAAAAAATACAATTTTCTACAATGAATATTCTCAAGAACTATATGACAGACTTAGGTATCATCTTGAGGTTGCTATTTTCTCATATGTAAAATGAATTCAAAATTGGAATATATATGTGTATATATATATATATATATATATTACAGGCAGAGTGGACAGTGAGAGAGAGAGACAGAGAGAAAGGTCTTCCTTTTCCATTGGTTCACAGCAATGGCCGCTGTGGCTGGTGTGCTGCGGTCGGCGCACCATGCTGATCGGAAAGCAGGAGCCAGGTGCTTCTCCTGGTCTCCCATGGGGTGCAGGGCCCAAAGACCTGGGCCATCCTCCACTGCACTCCTGGGCCACAGCAGAGAGCTGGACTGGAAGAGGAGCAACTGGGACAGAATCCGGCGCCCCGACTGGGACTAGAACCTGGTGTGCCGGCGCCGCAGGCAGAGGATTAGCCTAGTGAGACGCGGTGCCAGCCCAAAATTGTAATATATATCAATATCAAATAAATGCTAGACTTTGAATAATTTTGGCAAGGCACTTTGTAACTTTAAAAGACTTTAGCTCAATATAGGTATTGCAGTTACTGTTGCCTTAGAGCGACCGTTCCCAGGCACTGTGGAATGAATTGACAGAAGTTTCTCCATAAACCTAAAACCATGCTGAGTGTGCACAAGCTGATTCAACAACAGGAGAGAGTAGAAATTAGAACACAATTATTGAAATGTAAATAATGCTAATAATGTTAATAATGGTAGTAAAATAAGTACGAGTATTTTGTTGTTTTCTCCTCATGTCTCTACTTTTTATTTATTTATTTATTTATTTGACAGTGAGAGAGAGAAATAAAGGTTTCCTTCCTTTGGTTCACTCCCCAAATGGCAGCTATGGCCGGCGTTGCGCCGATCTGAAGCCAGGAGCCAGGTGCTTCTTCCTGGTCTCCCATGCGGGTACAGGGCCCCAAGCACTTGGGTCATCCTCCACTGCCTTCCTGGGGCCACAGCAGAGAGCTGGACTGGAAGAGGAGCAACCGGGACTAGAACCCGGCGCCTATATGGGATGCTGGTGCCGCAGGCGGAGGATTAACCAAGTGAGCCACGGCACTGGCCCCATGTGTCTACTTTTGATAATTGTTGTGCTGGAACAGATATTACTATATTATGCTCTATTTATGGGGTAACATAGAAGAATTCAGCATTCTTATTAGTATATTGCTAGTTCATATATGTTAAATTAAAATTATTATTGAAGTAATTATTAAATATTCCTTTGCATAAAACTTGAAGGCCATATACTTGTCGAAGGTCGCAGTGACATTAGATAAACTAATAATTTCAAAGGTTTTAGTTATATACTAATCTATATGGAAACCTTTATACCAAATTTATTCATAATTGCCCACACCTGGAAATAACCAAGCTATAGATCAATAACCAAATAATGATATAACCATGCAAAGAAAAACTACTTACCTATAAAAACGAGTAAACTCTTGATATAGGAAACAAGTGAACATCAAGAATTATGCTAAATGAAAGACACTGTGTATAATAGGCTATGCAAGAATACTTCAAAAAGTGTATGGAAGATGTAATTAAAATTTAAGTTTATTTTAGTACAAAATGTTTAAATTTTTGTGCAGACTTTCATAATTGTCATTTTCAATGAACTTTAGAAGGTCTCTCACTATCTCATTAATTTAACATTCTAGAAGATGTAAAACAAGAGGGACAAAAGTCCTAGCAATGAATGCTGGATGCTGGAAGTTGAAAAGATTGACTACCAAAGAGTGAGAGGAAGCTTTTATGGATGGTTACATAACTGTATGTATTTGTTAAAATTCACAAGATTGTACATCTAAAAATGAATCATTTGTATCACATTTAAATTATATTTCAGTGTTTCCAAATTTAGCTTCTAGAACTCATTTTCTTTAAATAGTAAGCATATTGAAACTTTTTGAATACACTTGGCAATTTTAATGTGAATGAAATTGTTGTTGATAATGTTGGTGATTAACATACATCAGCATTCCTATATCAAAATAAAAAAAAAGGTTTTACTGATAAGCAGATCAGTTTATTTTTTTCTTTCTGGACCACATTATGCTTTATTTTCAAAGGCTCAGAATTCACTAAAAATCTCCGGTGATGTAGTAATGAATATAACACATTGTTCTACCTACCTCCACAGAGTTTACCTTGAGATATGTTAGGAGGAGAGAGTCGATCCTTGTTTTCATTGTGACACTGACACATCACATTCACATTTGCTTGTGTTTCTGGTAACGTCTACCCTCAACAGGTCTAAAATTCATAGTGAGAAAATGTCATAATGATCAATAAAGAAATGAACAAAAAAGTGATAACCATGTATTCATGGGCTTAACATAGCACCCCATTTTTTTCATCATTCTATTTGGAAAGTTACATATTCTTCAAAAGTAGTACATGCATATTTTACTTTCAGCAGTTTGTCATCCTCTTGATTCATATTGTGATGAGCTGGTCTATCTTAGTAGGTATGCTCATAATACAGATATCATTTGTAAGCTCATACCTTAGGTTAATTGAACTTCAGAGTTAGTTGTTTTTAGACACTATTTCATTTGCAACATTTTTCTCCATTTAGAAACCTCTCAGTATTGTATTTCATTAAATTATATGTATATGCAGTTTGAACTAATACCATATAAATACTACTATTAGTGTTTATATGATGTTGAAATTGTTACATTTAAATAATTTTGATCTATGGTGACCTGATTATACAATATCCTTGATATATTGTTCATTCAATGAAATAACATAAATTTAACATTCAGAGAAAGTGGATGTAATTTCAAACAATATAACAAAGAAGTAGATCTTTTGCAAGATGTTACATCATCAGGTTTAGGCACTTATAATTCAGAAGGAGGTAGGACAATTAAATATGCAGACTAAATATTTATTTTTTCCTACACTTTGAATGCAAAACACCTTTGGTAGGTATTTTTAAGTCAGAATTTAAAAATGCAAAAATGAGACCAAAAAAATCAAATATACCAATACATGCAGAGTTTTCATTAAAAAAGGCTTTTATACCTGTTTATACTTAATAATCTTCAAATATTTTTTTCATTTAATTGGCTGGATATAATACAAAATTGAATATATCAAGATAGATCTGCGTTCAAAAGCAGATGTACATACCTGCATACTTTCTCAAAAACATAAACTGAACATCCAAAATGAGCAAGACACTCCATTAGTTAGAATCCTATTCTTGGCCGGTGCCATGGCTCAATAGGCTAATCCTCCGCCTTGCGGCGCTGCCACACCGGGTTCTAGTCCCGGTTAGGGTGCCGGGTTCTATCCCGGTTGCCCCTCTTCCAAGCCAGCTCTCTGCTGTGGCCCAGGAGTGCAGTGGAGGATGGCCCAAGTCCTTGGGCCCTGCACCTCATGGGAGACCAGGATAAGTACCTGGCTCCTGCCATTGGAGGGTGAACCAATGGCAAAGGAAGACCTTTCTCTCTGTCTCTCTCTCACTGTCCACTCTGCCTGTCAAAAAAAAAAAAAAAAAAAAAAAAAAAAAAAAAAAGAATCCTATTCTTAATTAGGTTACACAGAAATCTTTCAATGCATAATGGACTTACAATTAGGTTCCTGGTGCCCACTAGAAAACCATTAGGTAATAAGGAGCCATAGATGGGGACAGAAAGTTTGAACATATAGCAGTCTCTACACTTTCATGAACATACAAAATTAAGGATACAGACACATTTCATAGCATAACAAAATATGGTTGGGACACACCGACTTATATGTTCTTGAGCGTAGATTCTAATTTTCAACATTTGTAGACATACATGATGAAAGTGATAGAGAAGAGTTCCCAAACAGCTTTTGATCATTTTCTTCCCACTGTTCATTAAGTGCCCAGTGGCATAATTTGTATGGTCACTTTCCTTTAGCCTTGACTCCTTTTATTTAGCCATAACAGTCTCAATCTTTTAAACCTTTGCCTCTATGACCTTTACACTCGCCTATTTGATATGTCTAGCTCAGAATGCCAAATTTTTCATAAAACCCATAAAAATAACAGCAAATTTACTTAAGACAGATACAAATCAGTGATCTTGGGATACATCATCCCACTATATAAAATACCAAAGTTGTGAGCTCTCAGCCTTTTTCAATTATGTTTTAAGAGGCAAGCAGATATGCACCACCTAAAAACCTTTAAAGCCTTTTCCTTTAATCTTATGCTCTAAGAACAATCCTCAAATTCCATTACCAAGCTTATGTTGGCAGTTTAAATGCCAAAATATTTCTTAGAGATACAATCATTCTGGCACTGTAGTTGTGTGTATAGTTCCTTGGAATAAATTTAAGATATTTATCTGAACATGTTTAAAATTACCTTTTTAGAAGATTTATTCTATTCAGGGACAGAGTTTCGCTTTGAAACATTTTTTCCTTTTTCAATAATGTGAAAATTTGTAATAAGGGGATAAATAGAAAGTGATAGACTCTAAATTCTCATTTGAGAACATATGTCTGTATATATAACCAAATACTGGAGAATGTTACTTTGTGTTTTGTTATCATAAACAAAACACACTAAATCATTTATCCCATTTCATCATTGTGTCTATCAGAACAGGCTATATTACTGTTATCTTGTAGTAAATAACACAAAATTTCGATAGTTTCATAGCAAGAAATTCATTTTCATTTAACTATTATGTTCAGTGATAACTTGCAGGCAGGTTCTGATTTCACAGGCATTCAGAGACAAGAGGTGATGGGAGCTGTAACTTGACTAATAGAAAGGTGGGAATGTTGAAGATTTTGCACACTCTTTAAACTTCTGGCAACATATGAAACACATAACTCTCTTCTCACACTTTGTTCGCCAAAGCATATGATACAGTCATACCTAAGTTTGTAGGGAATGGGGATGTGTAATCCTGCAGGTACTTGAAGAAAGTGAATGGGAAATGACTGTCACAGGCCCAAGCCCTCACCTTTTCAGAATTGGGGGACTAACATCACTAACATAGTTATCACTGCACCTGTATCGGGTGAGTGAAACAACTTGAGCTGATTCACAGGCAGAGCAGCACACGTGGTAAGTCATCTTGAAAGTGAAGCTGGGAAGAGCAGTAAATTTATGTGTGAAGTCAATAGATAAAGAAGAAGCAAACTACAAAACAAAGCAAACAAAAAAAGACAAGACTTGGATATTTTTATAGGCTAATTCATGGTCAACATAAAGAATTTTAGGGTATCTTGTGTTCCAAGAAGAGGTATATTCAGAAGAACTGAATACTGAGTAGACTAAGCATATATTCATTATGTTTGATATCATATATTACATCCTATGTAAGATACACATTATATAAATTTTAAGAAGTACTATTAGGTAATTAACAATGAAGCACATTATTTTAGCACTCAAAACATTAAGTTAATTTAAAATAGTGTTGTATGTACTTTAAAATCAGGATTGACTATTTCTAAATTTATTTTACTTGATTGTTAATGTGACAATGCTTGACCATTGCCACAAGAGCTCAGAGTTTAGTATTCTCTTCTTTGGGAGCTGCTTTGTTTTCCCTATTAAAGGACAAAGTGAATGAATTACTGGGGCAGCTGAAAATTTGTAAATGGTGGTTGTAGTAGCATTTCACAGATTAATGGATAACAAGTGTGTTTCAATAGTAATGTTACAGATTAAAATTACTAACATTGATCTTCAAAAATAATACAAGGGCATGGTCTGGAGCAAAATAAAAATCTTAATAGACAATGAAGATAACATGCCTCTCCATTCTCCTTTTTACTTCACATCCCACAAGTAGACACCTGTACACAAGTGTACTCTATTCCCTTCACTAGAATAAATAAATAAAAAATTGTAAAAAGCAACACCTGTGAATTAAAGATTATAGGTTTTGCATACAAATAATTTCTCAGACTCAAACTCTGATTAGATTATGATATAAAGTCCAGATGTCAGGAAAAAAATCATGTCACATACTAGTTTCACAAAAAGACTTTAAAGTCCACACTGTTCCCTAGTTAATGCAATGTTTATTCTTTTTTATTATAAAGAAAAACTGATTTTATGGAAGCTAATTGATTACTAAGAAAAAGCTCGGTTGACTCCCTTCCTGCCATTCCAACCATTATGTTACTTATAATTATTGTGAAAAGGAACATTTAAAATTCATATTCCTGAGACTTGGTGTAGTACAACTGGTGGAAAGTCATCCTAGGTGCAAGCCCTCCGTTTTCTTTTTATTCCCAACTCCTGCACATGTAATGAATAAGAGGGAACATAGTTGAATTCAAAACTCAGTTCTGTTTCTTGGCTTTAAATGGATCAAAGTCATACACTTACAATGTGAAGATAAAGAAAGAAGGACATCAGAAAGTTCATGGAAAATTAAACTGACAAACACTTTATATTGGCTCAAAAATTTTTGAAACTCATACATGTTTTTCAAAACATTCATTTCCATGGTCTTTTTGAGGCTGACCATACATAAAGTCTGTAGTACACTGAAACAACAGATAATGAGTAAAGATAAATTACCTGCCCTCTTTCTTTTTGTTCTTTAATCAAAAATTTTGAACACATGTATAACAGCTGTAGATACTAATGGAGTACAATGTGATGTTTTGCTATATGTATATGATGTGTAAATCAATCAGGGTTAATATATGTATCCTTACAAGCATTTAACATTTCCTTATAGTGAAAACATCCCAAAAATCTATCTTCTAGTCTGTTTAACATAGAGAAATATACGGTAAAATAGAATTACCTCTCTCCACCCTACTGTGCACTTAGAACCCCAGAACTTCTTCTTTTTTTAACTTTTATTTAATGAATATAAATTTCCAAAGTACGATTTACAGGTCACAATGGCTTCCCCCCCATACCGTCCCTCCCACCCACAGCCCTCCCCTTTCCCACTCCCTCTCCCCTTCCATTCACATCAAGATTCATCTTCGATTATCTTAATATACAGAAGATCAGCTTAGTATACATTAAGTAAGGATTTCAACAGTTTGCTGCCACACAGAAACATAAAGTGAAAAATAATAGATGTTTTTTTTTTAAATGATGATGAAATCAGGGCAGACCTATTGTCATGTTTAATCCCAGTGAGAGTCAAGTTGGGAGTTGATAATTTTTTTTTTTTTTTTTTACAGAGGATCAGTTTAGTATGCATTAAGTAAAGATTTCAACAGTTTGCACCCCCATAGAAACACAAAGTGAAATATATTGTTTGAGTACTCGTTATAGCATTAAATCTCAATGCACAGCACATTAAGGACAGAGATCCTACATGAGGAGTAAGTGCACAGTGACTCCTGTTGTTGACTTTACCAATTGACACTCCTGTCTATGGCATCAGTAATCTCCCTATGCTCCAGTCATGAGTTTCCAAGGCTATGGAAGCCCTCTGAGTTCTCCGATTCTTATCTTGTTTAGACAAGGTCATAGTCAAAGTGGAGGTTCTCTCCTCCCTTCAGAGAAAGGTACCTCCTTCTTTGAAGACCTGTTCTTTCCACTGAGATCTCACTCACAGAGATCTTTTGCCAGAGTGTCTTGGCTTTCCATGCCTGAAATACTCTCATGGGCTTTTCAGCCAGATCCGAATGCCTTTAGGGCTGATTCTGAGGCCAGAGTGCTATTTAGGACATCTGCCATTCTATGAGTCTGCTGAGTATCTCACTTCCCATGTTGGATCACTCTCCCCTTTATTTATTCTATCGGTTAGTGTTAGCAGGTACTAGACTTGTTTATGTGTTCCCTTTGACTCTTAGTCCTTTCATTATGATCAATTGTGAACTGAAATTGATCACTTGGAATTGTGAGATGGCATTGGTACATGCCACCTTGATGGGATTAAATTGGAGTCCCCTGGTATGTTTCTAACTCTACCATTTGGGGCAAGTCAGCTTGAGCATGTCCCAAATTATATTTCTCTTCCCTCTCTTATTCCTACTCTTATGTTTAACAGGGATCACATTTCAGTTAAATTTCAACACTTAAGAATAACTGTGTATTAATTACAGAATTAAACCAGTCATATTAAGTAGAACAGACAAAACAACTACTAAGAGGGATAATGTATTAAGTTGTTCATTAACAGTCAGGGCTATGCTGATCAAGTCACCGTTTCCCATAGTGTCCATTCCACTTCAACAGGTTTCCTTTTTGGTGTTCAGTCAGTTGTCACCGATCAGGGAGAACATATGGTATTTGTCCCTTTGGGACTGGCTTATTTCACTCAGCATGATGTGTTCCAGATTCCTCCATTTTGTTGCAAATGACTGGATTTCGTTGTTTCTTACTGCGGTATAGTATTCTAAAGAGTACATATCCCATAATTTCTTTATCCAGTCTACCGTTGATGGGCATTTAGGTTGGTTCCAGGTCTTAGCTATTGTGAATTGAGCTGCAATAAACATTAGGCTGCAGACCGCTTTTTTGTTTGCCAATTTAAATTCCTTTGGGTAAATTCCAAGGAGAGGGATGGCTGGGTCGAATGGTAGGGTTATCTTCAGGTTTCTGAGGAATCTCCAGACTGACTTCCATAGTGGCTTGACCAGTTTGCATTCCCACCAACAGTGGGTTAGTGTCCCTTTTTCCCCACATCCTTGCCAGCATCTGTTGTTGGTAGATTTCTGAATGTGAGCCATTCTAACTGGGGTGAGGTGGAACCTCATTGTGGTTTTGATTTGCATTTCCCTGATTGCTAATGACCTTGAACATTTTTTCATGTGCCTGTTAGCCATTTGGATTTCCTCTTTTGAAAAATGTCTATTGAGATGGATCCCCGGATGGCGGAATAGAGAGGGAGGGAGCACAGCGAAGCTCCACTAAGGGAAGGTTCAAAGAGGGATGAAAATTTGTAGTTTTTAAGCCCTTCCTCAAACTGAGGTGTTGGGGTGGACACGCGGGGAAGACGCGGACGCCTGGGACTCAGGACACCAGCAGAAGCGTGTATGCACCAGCGCTGGAGGCCGAGGTGAGATGGGGCACTCGCCCAGCACCATGGCACAGCTGCCGCCGCCCCTCCCCCAACACATCCTGGGATGGACACTGGGACGTGCACGACTGAGTGGGAGAGCAAATAGAGAACAGGAACAGAGTGAGTGGCGCCTGCGGAGGCGGAGAGAGTGCACGATTCAGGGACACTAATTGAGAGACTGAGTAAGCCAGTGTCTCTTGGCGCCTCCCCGGAGCTCCAGCGGGCAGGAAGCAGCCATTTTGTTTGTTTACATTCGGGCTTAAAGGAGAACTATCTTTGCCTCCACACTAACCTTCGGAGGCGGAGCCCAAAGGTGGAGCTGAGGGTGCTCGAGGGAGGGCAGCCCGAAGCCCTGAGACCCGACTACTCAAGTTACTGAATAGCGCCTCCTGGTGGGGAAAAAGCACAGGATCCAGAGCTGCAGTGGGCAGAGAGCAGCCATCCTGTCTGTTTACCTGCGGGCTGTGTAGAGCAGCCTGGTTACACAGGATATTGGTAGAGACTCACAGCAGCCTATAGTAGAGGGAAATCAACCCGAAAAATCACCCAGACAGAATGCCAAAAAACAAAACCAAAAACCAAAAAAACATAGAAGATAATATAAATTTGCCAATGGAGCAGGCTAAACCAACAGAGGCAGAAGAAGAAGAAGTTGAAAACATGCCAGAAAAAGAATTCAGAAAATTAATAATCAGAATACTTAGAAATAATGAGAAACAGTGTCAAGAGCTGAATGAAAAACAAGCCCAAGGATTAGAGATCTTAAAGAGAAGCCAGAATGAGATACTAGAACTGAAAAACTCAATTGACCATATAAAAAACACCGTGGAATCCCTCGGAAATCGAACAGATGAAATAGAAGACCGAATATCAGAATTCGAAGACAAACTTCCAGAAATAATACAGTCAGTTCAATCGCAGGAAGAAGAAATTAAAAAATTAAAAAACACAGTCGGAGACCTGCAAGATTCAATCAAACGGTGTAATGTTCGGATAATAGGAGTCCCTGAGGGGGTGGAAAGAGAGAATGGATTAGACGGTGTCTTCAATGAAATAATATCAGAAAACTTTAAACAAAGACAGCTGGATAACAACACACAAATACAACAGATAACCAGGACCCCGAACAGAGTAGACCAGAAGAGAAATTCAC